TGCTGGGACGGAGCAGAGGAGGGGTGCTAGATAAAATGAAGGAATCTGCAGAAACCTTGAGGGGTCCCTGAGCACCACTCATCCATTCTGGTCCGTTTATTGTGTCAGACCCAACACATGAAGGCAAGTATGGTGGTGAGTGAGCCATGCACTCGGAGGAGGGGTAAAGTTCGGCCCCTAAAACGACCGATTACCGAGCCAGGGAACGGACTGACCAAACACATTTGAGAGGAAAACAAAAGCAAAAACAACCCCCCTCGCCCCCAATGATAATCCAAGAACCAGGGTGTGAGGTGTGTGAGGACATTCTGTAAGATCTTCAGGATTGTTCTATGACGCTATTACTATTCTAGAAAGAAAACGCTACTTGAATTTTCTTTCTGAACTCACGCAAGGGAAGTTTTAAAATGACGCCTATGCTCAGTGAGACACAACAGGTGTGCCAAGAGTGTGAGCGTGGAAGCCTCGTCCTGCTCACACCCTAGCGGGGCCCCTGGGTCAACTGCCTCAACTTCACTGCCCAGAAGATGGGAGATCCACATCTGGCCAGGAGGACTAAACAGGACTATATGTAAAGAATGGGGGTGCCCAGCCATTGGGGGAGGGGCAGGGTGTTGCTATTTTGTTGTTAGCATCAAAAGCAATAAATGAGGGGAGTTCATATTTGAGCGTGGGCTTTAACTAAAGGAAAGCATTTCTTGATATTGACTTTTGTTTGATGGGGTCACGGTTCTTCACCCATCAATAATTTTCATCACAAATTGTAACATTTTTCTCTTCCCCACGGTCTGTAACAACCTTTTGCTGTTTTGCCCAGCCAGCATCCGTTTCCCTTATTTTTGGTGACAACATATTGTTTTTCCCTGGGAGAGAGACCCTACCTCCAGTTTCAATAATAAGCACGTGTTCTTTATTTGATCAATAATTGAGGCCACTGAGGCAGTGAACAGCTTAGGGATGTGCATTGACCTGAGCGGAGCCAGTGGGAACTTTCTCTGGCACTTTTGTGGGACTATTAGCATAGGATGGTCAGGAACACAGGACCTACCTGAGATGACTAAAGAACTAAAAATAGAGAGAAGAGAGCAATGCTGAGGTGGAATCTTGCTTAAGAGATTATAACAATAAAAGTTGTTATAATACATACACTCAATGGAATATTACTCAGCGATCAAAAAGATAAACGCATGCTTTTTGCAGCAACATGAATGGAGCTGGAAGGGATCATGCTTAGTGAGATAAGCCAGAAAGAAAAGGAAATGACCAGGGGAGGAAATAATAATAATAATGAACAACTATATAGTAGAGACATTTTATGGGGTGAAGTGGGGAATGGGATCAAAAACGGGGGCGGGGAGGGAAGTGCACTGGACTATGGTGATGGCTCATGCATGAAGTAGTGATGGGAAACCCATGGGGATTACAACTGAGATGGGGAAAAAAGGCACAGAATGATGCAAAAATAAACTACTATAAAAAAAAGTTGACATTCACTGGGCACTTACTTACTAAGCACTATTAGCACTATTTACTTCTTATAAACATCCTACACACACACACACACACACACACACACACACACACACACACACAGATGACTTTTTTGTATTAAAGAGTTCCAAGCTCACCCAAATAGGCTGGCTGGGAGGAGCAAATAATATTTGCCTTCCAAATATACTGAATTCTGGTGATAAACCTTTGAGTGTTTTCAGCAAATATACTAAGGTTTTGAGGACAAAGGAAAGTAATTGCCCTCTGATGGAGGAAAGTGATTTTGTTAAAAGAACTCCAAGAAGGGAAAATTAACTTCATAGTGACGTTTTTTGGTCCATTCTTATTACTAAAGTTTAAATACAGTGCTTTTAGAAAGCTAATTGCTCTTCAGCTCCTAGAAAGTGTTTTGTGAAAGGGCAGTGATTACTTATCAAAATATTCAGCCAATATTTTCTTTGAACAGAGATAATTTCATCTCCAGAAAGTTCTTCAGTTAATATTCACCCCTTTGTGACTGGATACATCCAGAGCAATGTCACAGAGGCTTCAAGAGATTAGAAAGCCCTTGATTCAAAGATGTGAGTGGCTTTTCTTTCAAAGAGCTGTGGACCCTGGCTCTCATTTGCCCTATTCATGAAATGCCTATAAGACGCCCCTAACCACCTCCGAAAAAATTGTGTCTAGAAAACCAAACTCACAGACCTACACATAGTCCTAAACTCATAGTCCTGTTGCCAGACTCCCTCTTACATGACAGGGCCTGCGATGCTGGCCACACTCTCCCTCACACTAAACACACACAGGCAGGCACTCACAGCTACTGACACCAATAC